CTCCCCCCCCACCCCCCCCTGCATGAATTTCATGCACTGAGCCTCTAGTATAGGATATAAATGTCAAATCACTATGTTGTACTCCTGAAAAAAATATAATATTGTATCTCAACTTTAATAAAATATAAAATAAATAACTAAAATTGAGAAAAGTCTTACTTTAACTTTTAGATAAAAAATATGATTATATCTATTACTGAAAACCCTTTAATATGCTCCTTTGCCCTTAGGATAAAAACTGAAATTCCTTGACATAGCCTAAAAGAACCTCATGGTCTGCCCCTGCACACCTTTTCAGTGTTACCACAAGGCAGGTACATACCCTCCTGCATTCCTTGTTCTTCCCCCGGACCTGGTTTTAGTTCTCAAAGGCATCAGTCCTGTGCTAGCTCCACTATCACCTCATCCACCACTGCATGCTCATCTACTCATCTTTGGGATCGAAAAGCAAATTTTGCTTCAGTAGAGAGAGAGTTACTATTGTTCTCCTTCCATACTTTTTGTCAGTCACATCAACTCCGTGAGGCTACCACAGCAGGGACTGGTCTTCCTCATCATCATGCCTGTGCCCTCGCCAGTCCCTCTGCCCCAATGTCCTCTCTGCTTTAATTCAAGGCAGTGTTACCTCCTCTTGAAAACTTTCCATAAACCTCTTCCATCCCTCTCCTACTCTCCTCCCAGTCTGAGTACACTGTCTCTCCACGCTTTCTTAATACCCTCCATCCAAGTGGTTTTCAAAATCTACTGAAAGTTCCCTTGCCCTTATCCCTAATCAGGGGTGGAAAAAGGGTCCATCTGGTTCTTCTCTGCATTTCCAGACCCCAGCAGAGCCTGGTGTGTACAGAGTTCTCTTTCAGTACTGTTTGCTGATGAATATATGGCTGCAAAGGGCTCTTGCCCCTACTAAGCACTGATATGAGGCTATGTGGACACTATACTTAATGGGGAGAGCTGCCCTTTAAAAAAGGAGTTACATTAGTTAAGTAGAACAAATCATATTTGATGCTTTTGTCAAACTCCCTGACTTTGGCTCGAGATGAGTGCACTAATGAAATGCCTCTCAACCGCCTAGGTCGGGGTCTACTGAGATGGGTAATTGCAGCCCTGGCAATACATTACTTGTACTGTCAACAGTTTTTTGTTCTCTCTCTTGCAAAATGCAGAGTAAAGTGGAAAATGCTGTGAGAACTCAGTGGCATTTAATTTACTGATAAGACGCAGTAGGAGCCTTTCTTTAACCTGGCTGTGACAGCAATAGTGTGTGGACAAGTATTAGGTTTGGAATGCAATTGGCAAACTATTTTACACCCTGTGCGCCACTCTTCCCATCTCTAGAATTAAACTGATGGAAGAGAATGCTTGTCCCACCAGGGTAGTTACTATGGTGATGGATGGCTGAGATACAATGTTGTCCTGCCCTGGCCATGCCAATTCCTTTGGATTCAGCTTGTTATTCTGCAGAGGGAGAAATGACCAGCAGGTCTCATTTTTTTTTCTTTGAATTGGGAAGTTGTGAGCAAGCCATGGCAGAGAAAGGCCATTATACTGGCATTTTGTGCAGAGAACCCAGGGCTGCTGTGCTGGGTGTGCACTCTCAGTGAGAAGCAGGGCTGTGGTGGTGCACACAGAAACATCTGTATGGGGGAGTGGGACCTGAAGGGACCTGGTCTGAGACTTTAGGTGCCCCAGGTCCTGCCCAGGTCCTCCAAGGGCCAAGGAGATGGGTATTTTTGGGGTAGAGCCCCAGTCAAGAAGCTCTGCTGTGGGTTCACTCCATCACTTGGCTACTAAAAGGGCCGTGTCCTCAGCTGGAGGCGCCCACTCAGCAGCGTCAGATGAACTTAAGCCAGGCCAGGAGCATAGCTGATCAGAGGTAGCAGCTGGGGCTAGGAGGTCTGGCATCAGACGATGCGATTGCCGAACTCCTTCAGTACATAGACAGCCAGTTCTTCCCAGGCCCCCGGCGGCCAGAGCTGCCAGACACAGAATTCAGTTACATATGAAGGACTGCTAGGCACTCACAGGGACTGCAGGGCCAGTCTCGGAGGCTCTCCAGCCAGGGAAGTGCCCAACCCCTCCATGAGGCTTCCCTGGGCCAGATCCCACGACTGCTGGACACAGACACCACCCAGCATGCCAGACACAGGCATCCGAAGTCCACCCTGCACCCACTGGTGATCGGGAACTGTGCACTGCAAGTCCACCTGCGGCCCCTGAAAAGCCAGGATGTTTTCACCATCTCCTGCATCCCCAAAGGGATCCACGCGGCATCTCACATTCCTGGCATCTGAGTGGAGGACACACATAGAGTCCAGGTGAGTGTCTGCACCTGGCCTGACAGGCGGCTGAGGGAGCAGGGGCTGCCTCCTACCATGGCAGGCAGGACTCGTACATGGGATGGAAGTCTCCTTTAGGGAGGCAGTTCCAAATCAACCAGTGGGCCACAGTGTGACTAGCACCCACTGCATCTCCCAAAGCCACATGTCATTATCTTCCTCTATCAACAAGTCCCGTTCTGGTCTTTTCTAGGTCAGGGGATGCCATTGTCATCCCCCCAGTCCACTGGTGCCAGCTGAGAACTGGGCTTGGTTCCTCGCTCCCCTGAGCACTTCCACCCAGAGCATCTCCAAGTCACACCCACTCTGCCTCCTGAACAGCTTATTATCTTGTCCCAGTTCCACTCATTGGATCCAGGCCCTCGGCACCTCACCTGGCACAGCGACCCCTTTCTCCTGGCTCCAGCCCCTTTCTCCTGGCTCCAGGCCTCGGACTGCCCACACCACCTCTTCTCCCTGCTCTTCCTGCTGATATTCACTAGTCTCATGGTGGGTCCTCACTGCCTTCAAGAGAGAATTCAACCCCCCCTGATCCTGTGGTAACTCTTATGTTTACTTCTTACTCTCATGCATCTAGTACTCCAATAATATTCTTATTCTCTAACAGAACAATAAAACAGCTGCAGTGTACTGCGTACGTACTGTATATGCCATGTCAATGCCTTCACAGTGTTTGTGGAGGTAAGTGCGTCTTTCAGCGTAAGAGAGTGGGGTCACGGCAGCCCCAGCATTCAAAATAGGTCTGCCGACTCCCAGGTCACGCCTTCAGCCAGGCCTCCATCAGCTCGGTCTTTACTGAATTTCTTGCTGCTGGTTGAAGAAGACTGCTTTCTCCCACTTCTATTCGATGTTCCTTTCCTCCTGCTTCAAATGGCACCCTTCTCTGTTCCTACCTGAGTGTCACTCTGCTGCTCATTCTGGGATAGACTCTTTAGAGAAGCCTTTCCCACTCTCCCTGCCCCATCACAGGTGCCCCCAACAGAGCCTCCCCACAGAGCCAGAGCCCACCTAGCCACACTGCTTAACTGGTGATGTTTACTTTCACATGTTTTAAATTTCAAACTTAATTTAATTAAATCTAATTATTTAATTAAACTTAATTTAATTGCAATTTAATTTAATTGCAGGTGGTACCAGGTGGCTTGGTACCATTGAGGCTGTTAATCTTATTAGTGCACTCGGTCCTCCTGCTGCAGCCAAATATATAAATTGCTCATCAGTTTCAGTTTCCAGGACAGGGTAAGTCATATCTCCTGGAGAGCAGCAGGGTCAATGATTACAACAAGCCATTCCCGCTGTGAACTGATTGAGATCTAGGCCAGAATGTGTCTACGATTTGTGTACCCGAGACCCCAGCCCCTTGACAAATTTCCCAGAGAGTGAGGCCCCGAAAGACTAGTACATACCTGTGGGGACAGTGCTCCGGGCCTGGCTAGCCGCTGGGGGAGCTGAGTGCCACAGACAACTGCCCACGGGGGGAGAGGCTGCCTGGTGCTGGGCCTGGGGTGTGGCGAGGGGGAGGGCTGCTCTCGCGGCGGTGGCAGGGCTGCTCAGGCTCCCACCGCCTGGGTGGATGCTTGTGGCCATCCCTTTGGCCAGTGGAGACCCTCCAACCACATTATTCCCAGGTGGCCCAGCCCCTCCTAAGGGAGCCCTGAGGAAAAAAAGAGAATGAACTCAAGTGACAGTGCAGACAAAACCACCCCACGTGGGCCATTGGTAAAGGCCTGCTCTTACACACTGGCCTTTCTGAGATGAAAGCCACGCAGGCCAGGAGAGAACCCTAAAACAAAGCCAAGATAACCCTTGTAGGCAAACAATGCCCAGAGCTCCAGCTGAGAGGGCGCCCTCTGTAAATCTTCATGGGGGCTAACTCTCTGTGAATATTCAAGAAGTAGCAAACGAACCCTGAAAAACAGAGGCATTATTCCAACCAATAAAATATTTTGTACCAGAGCTACTGTTTTGACTCATTCTAACAAACAGCTGTGTCCCCAAACACCTCCAGAAAGAGCGATGGCTCAGTCACATCCCACGAGGCTTGGACACATCTGGCACCTGGGGGGAAGCAGTGGCAGGACCTACTCCCTCTGCCGGCCTCTGGGAAGGGCACCAACAGACCATGTCCCACTGACAGACCATGTCCCACTGAGAGATGTCAGGGAACTTGCAGCTTCTTACCAGAAAATAGATGCCCTTTCAGCCCACGGTTTCCAGATGAAGAAAAACCAATGGAAAACAGCAACTTGGAAGACGGGCTGTTCACACTTGCACACTTTGCATATTTGTGCTGTGGGGTGCAGAATACAGTGGAGGCGGGTTTTGCAAGGTGTTTAGTTTCAGGGGACTGGAATATCTTCCATTTGTCCAAGAGCTCAGTAAACTCCCCTTTGTCTTCTTGGGATCTCAGTCATGAGACACCAGAAGCCACACCTGGGAGAGAACAGGCTCTGCCGGGCGTGGCTCCGGGCCAGGTCAGAGGCCCCTCTCCAGGTGGCTTGGTACCATTGGGTCTGACTTCAAATGGTAATTGAGTCAGGTTTCTGCAGAACAGCTCTGGGGAAAGCCTCCTAGGGAAGGACCCAACTGTCCAGGGACTGGGCAGCACCTTCACTCACTAGTTGTAGAGCTGCCTTGAAATTCACTTCCAGCATGAACCTGTCAGCTGGCCAGCCAAAACCAAGGGCCACGTCTCCAGTTTTCTTATGTGCCCTGGATGTTGACGCAACTCTGAACCGGTAAAGGTCTTCCCTGAGCGAGACAGACTGAAGATCAAGCAGTGCCCTCATCTCAATGGGAAATTCTCAGACAACTCTGGATAACATTTTCAGCGAATTTTTAAAATTGCTCTGTTTTAATAAAAATAATATAACATGCCCTAACCAGTTTGGCTCAGTGGATAGAGCGTCGGCCTGCGGACTCAAGGGTCCCAGGTTCAATTCCAGTCAAGGGCATGTACCTTGGTTGCAGGCACATACCCAGTAGGGAGTGTGCAGGAGGCAGCTGATCGATGTTTCTCTCTGATCGATGTTTCTAACTCTCTATCCCTCTCCCTTCCTCTCTGTAAAAAAATCAATAAAATATATTTTTAAAAAATAATATAACAGACATTTTGTAAGACACAGGAAAGCACAAGGAAAAAAACACTTTTATCTATAATGCTACCAGTTAATAACAATTGCTGACTTTGGGGAGTACGTCACTTTTCCTTTGCACATATGCATGTATGCGTGTTTTATGTAGAGCAGGTCCATGTGACAGCACATGTGCCTGCTATACTCTAGCACTGTGCACAGGAACCTCCCTCCCCACATCCACACCCACACCCAAACCTGTGAGATCTCGCCCTCCTTGGTGACTCTGCCTCCACTTACTGCTACTGCCCTGACTGCAGCTCATTCTGCTCCCACCCTCTCCCTGGGCAGCCAGTGTCTGTTTCGGAAAAGACAAGCAAACCTAATTCGGAAGGGGAAATGCTTGCTACCTAGAACCCTTGTTCAAGGGGACTCTGAGCCCACAGGCAGGGGCTTCCTGGCTGCCTTCTGAACTGTGTTTTGGGGTGGCCCAGTGATGACAGCTGCAGGGAAATGGGAGGGGGGATCCTCCCTCCTCTCCCAGGCAGCGACTACGACCTCACCTGGAAGCAGGAGTCACATAGTTTCCTGGGAACACCCCAGAGAGCCCAGACCTCAGGGACGTGCCCTTGAACCAGCCGTCCTGACACTTCTCCAGGACGCAGTACATCTCGCCCTTGCGCAGCTCCAGCTCGTCACTCTTCTGGGGCTTGTAGGTGTAGAGTGCCAGGTACCTGCAGGCAGAAGAAGCAGGGCCAGGATCAGTAGTGGCAGGCAGGGCGGGCATAGAGCCACTGCATTGTCCCCTGAGTCACATGTGAGCTCTTCTGTGGGTGAACCCAACTTAAGAGTAGCTGATGCCTCTGGGGACTGGCACACACAGCATGTGACCTGCTCTTCCCAGTAAAGCAATGAGGGGCTGGGGGAGAGGCATTCCCAGCACTGCCAGGTCCAGGGAGGCACTGGCAGGGGAGGGGCAGAGCTCTGCCCTGATCCTAGAGCCCATGGTCATGCCCAGCCCTGCGCCTACCCAAGCAAGTGTGCAGCCAGGAGCACCTTTCCGACCTGACACCTCAGTGAGGCTCCTTGAGCCGTGAGAGGCCCTGGGGTGTCAGAAGTAGATCTGGGGCCAGGTCTTAGGGGCCCCCCTGTTTTTGTTCGTTTGTTTACTATTTTCTACACTGTCTATAACTTGGTGCTCTGGGCAAGAGAAATCTTTAGGAAAAACAGGGAGCAAGAGAACAAGCTGGAATGGGTTTTCCTTGTTTAGTCTCTGGCCTGGCCTTACCATCGATCTGAGCTGGCAGAGGCCTCGAGGCCCTGAGTAGAGAAAAGGCAGCCTAGGTAGGGAATTCTTGGTTACATTCTTCCTTGCAATATTTGTACCACAACTAATTATTTAAATTTTACTTTTTTTTAAAGTAAGTTTATTTGAAGACAAGGAAAGAACAAACTTAGTGGTGGAAATTCCCACTTAGGGCCCAGAAAGTGGGCCTCCAAGCTGCCAAGAGCCACAGCAAGGCCCTCTGTAATAGACCTAGTGACCTGACCCAGCCTCCCAGGGCACTCTGAGGACTGGGAAATGCTGCAGGTGCTTTGCTGCTTGGGGTGTGAAGAATGGTTAGTTGTGAGCTGATACAACTGTGAGGCAGTTTCCTGCAGACACAGATTCACTCGACGTTGCCCCTCCCAAGGGCTGCCTGAAGCCCACAGGGCTCTCTGTGGTTGGGGAAGCTGAGGTGCCATCTGGGCTCCAGATTCCCCTGAGGATCAGCTGCGCTTCCCCCAAGTACAGCTCAGCGCTGGCTCCCTCACAGGCCTGACTCCCAGCGGCAGTCCTCCCCCAATGCAGGGCAGTTCTCCACACGCGGCAGGAAACCCGACTTAGCACTAGTGCTGCTGAGGACCCACCGGCACCTATAGGCCCCCACGCTGGCTTTCTGTCAGTTGGCCCTGCTGGCACCTTCACAAGTGCCCACACTCTGCCCACAGGCTCCCACTCTGTTCAGGGTGACTTTCTGCCCTTCCCCTGTGCATTCTTCACTCCCTCCCGGCCAGGGCCTGGTTCTGCTCTCTCCCTGAAGTTGATCAGCATAACAGGGTGCAGGAGGGCAGGTACCGTGCTGCTGCAGGAGCTTCCCACAAGCTGGGTGCTGTCAGAGGAGGCTGGATTGTGGGGTCACCCCCCTGGCGCCTCACCACAGAGCAGGGACTTACGTTACTGGGTCTTAATGTACTGAGCTCACAGTGGTCAAGCCCCCTGCAGCCCGAGGTGCAGAGCCAGCCCTGTGTTACGGATCTGGGTAGAAGCGATCCCGTCCCATGTGAGGCATGGTTCCCACCATCACAGACTGTGTAAACATTAGAAGGCGGTTTGGCGACCTCTTCCTGTCCCCACAGGTCCTTCACTCCCCTCATCTGAGAAACCCATGGAGAAGTGGAGGTAAGATTCACTCACAGCCCAAGTGGTGGCCTATTTATAAGGGCTGCTCCTACCCGAAGTGTGGCCTCCAGGACCAGATATTTATGCCCCAGGAAGCCCTACAAGGCAGGCAGATGAAGAGCAGACAAGCCCGGGCCAGGGAGTGGACTTTGAGTGGCCTCCCAATGCCAGGCAGTGAGAAGGGAGGGTGTGGGCTCCTGCAGGCCTCAGTGTGTCACGGGAGAGATGAGCAGCTACCTCCTGCACTGGGTAAGCAAACTGAGATCCCTCTTTGTGGGTTTGTGTGTTTTCTTTAAATATATTTTATTGATTTTTTACAGAGAGGAGGGGAGAGGGATAGAGAGTTAGAAACATCGATGAGAGAGAAACATCGATCAGCTGCCTCCTGCACACTCCCTACTGGGAATGTGCCCACAACCAAGGTACATGCCCTTGACCGGAATCGAACCTGGGACCCTTCAGTCCACAGCCCGACGCTCTATCTACTGAGTCAAACTGGTCAGGGCCCCCCTTGTGTTTTAAGACAACCAAAGCCTTAGACAATCAGTGTCCATGGGAACTTTTATATGCTAGAAGAAGGGGGTAAGAACACTCTTCGACCTTTGGCTGACCTGAGCGATCAGGCCTTTCAATTATATGGGCTCACACTTCAGAGCATGTGACTTGACCTGCAGAAGGCAAACCCTGCATGGACGAGGATGACTGGAGTCATTCTGTCACAGACCTTCTGATAGCCTGGCCGGTGTGTGTCACAGACCCCTGGCTCACAGTAGCATGCTCACTGCCACCCTTGTCTCTGTGCAGGCGGCCCTCTCATGCACAACCTCAGACCATCTTTGAACATGACTACTGCTACTGTTTTGGGAAGGACAGACAGAGAACAACCACATTCCCACCCTACATGCCTGCCACCGGCATGCACGGACCACTAACTTCTTAGAGCTAAAAAGGATAGATGAGTGATCAGGTTAATCTGATAAACCAATGAGGTCATTGGATCATTTTCTCCCTAGTAATAAAATAAAGACTGTGATTTCAAAGGTCATGTTCTCAAAGTGGATTGTGCATAGTGCTGTAACGTATGAGATATTACTTGCCATGGTGCTTGGCACTTGGTACAAACAGCAATGGGAAGCACACAATGAACCAGTCTCAAGCATTGCTGGCCATGGTTCCTCTGCTACTCAGATGACCACTGTGACTAGCAGACACATCTCTGCCAAAATGCTTATCATCCTTTCAAGGACAGTATTTGACATGGAAGTCTTCCTTCTGTTACCCAAATGAAAATCAACCCAGACACGGACAGCCATGCTCTGGGAGGAGACAGAGAAGGAGAGAGCAGAGGGATGGGGTCCCCAATGGCAGAGTGGGGTGGGAAAAGAAGTCTTTCAATCTCCACACAAAATTGAAAAGCCTGCAAGGTATGGGAGGTCTGTGCGTGGTGGGGCCTCCAAAATGTACTCACACACCTGGGAGTGACATTCTTGGAACTGTGCTACCTGTTGGGTCTCAAAGACAGAGCAGCCTTCTTGGGTGGCTGGTTTGATGCAGAGTTGGGGACTTTGGGCCAACATCGGGAGTCCTCTGCACCGAGGAGGGGTAAGGCTGTGGCTCTCATTGAACAAGAAAACATCTGTTAAAAGCCTGTGTGCTGGGCATTCATTTGAGACCCAAAAAGTGGAACACCTGGGCCTTGTTCTGCAAGAGTTCACCGTGTCCTGCCTCTCATTTGGGAAAGTCCACGAGGGCCCAAGGGTCTCCTGTGGATGAAGATCTATTTTCTCAGGGAAAGGAAATCCAATGTTAGAAGAGCAAGACCATCACCACCATCCTTTCCCATGTGCCTCCTCGGCCCAGGTCTGAGTGGAAGCCATTGGAGCTTACCCAGGAGACCCAGTCAGAAGACAGCACCTTCTGTCCAGTGTTGGTGAAAACGTGGGTTTCAGCCTAAAGACATCTAGAAGGCAGTGTACTAATCGATGCTCCCCTCGGGAAGCCAGGTTAAATATAGGTAAGCCTCAATCTCCTTTTGTTTACCTGGATGATAATAACCGACTCACAGCACTGTGGGCAAATAAACGGAGGATGTTCATGATTCCCTACCTGTCCCCACGTAAGGCAAACGCTTCCACTAGGCCGAGGAAGGCAGGGACACATGTACCAGGTATTTAAGCTACTTCTAGGAAACCTTCTGGAGCTTGGCAAGTTGCTTTTTCAAGAGGCATTTTGCTTGAAATACATTCTGTTCTGCACCAACACAGATTCCAAGTGTCCTTCTGACTGCGTAGTATCTGTGAACCTTTTCCTTCCCCAATTATTGACCAAATTCTTACTCTCCACCATAGAACATTCATTCAGGTAACTGGCTCATTGCAAACAAAGGAGTAGAAGGCAGTCTAATTCTTCAGAACGCTATTTAAGTGGGGAGTTTTTATACTGCACGTATCTTTTAAGAACTGTAATTTAACAAGAGTAGGTTCTAAGCAAGACAAGCATGTCACTTCCAGCAGTGACTCATCAGGGTGTATTTGGCTGTGACACACAGCTTCTGTGCATGGGTATGGCAGTGACAGCTACTAAGATGCTGAGCTACTCTGAGCAGCTAGTAACTAGCCACCATAAAGACCCCACGACCTCCCACTGCGCCAGCATCCTCCCACTCCGACCCGCAGCCCACACCTTCTCATGGGCCTGTGAGGTGTTCTCTTTGCTATGGTTGGTCCTCTCCTGATTGGCCAGTGCCTGTATCATCAAATATTTTGATTATGCCCTCTGCTCATAATAAATGTCCTAGGGACAATAACATTTAAAAACCTGCTAAACTTTTCTGCACTTTCCTGTCAGTACTATTATTAGATGCACATAATTAAAACTGACCAGCTAGTGGGCAGCTGGTGTGGCTCAGTGGTTGAGTGTTGACCCATGAACCAGGAGGTCACAGTTTGATTGCTGGTCAGGGCACATGCCTGAGTTGTAGGCTTGATCCCCAGTAGGGGGCATGTGTGAGGCAGGTGATAAATGTTTCTCTCTCATTGATATTTCTATCTCTCTATCCCTCTCCCTTCCTCTCTCTCTAAAATCAATTAAAATATTTAATAAATAAATAAATAAAATAAACTGACCAACTAGTAACACATGAGACCCCCACAGAAACCATACATTTCCACGCCAGCAGGTGAGATGGAGATGCTGAGGGCATGGGACCCCAAAACACAAACAGCAGCTCACACATTGAGAGGCAGCTGCCCTTTGGGAGCCATGTCCTGCGGGTCAGCCGCTGGGCTGGATCCGGCAGAGGAGGAGTCCTGTAAACAGACAAGAAGAGAGTGAGCTGACAGGCGGCCCTGCCCAGGAAGGAGAAAGACAATGTCGCATGGCATCATGAAGCATCTGTCCTCCCCTCAGGGTCTACTTGCCTGGGTTGTTAATGACTTTTTTTCCCATAACCTGGGGAGAGCTTGGCGCCCAATGACGGGCCCACGGCAGCTCTCCAGAGCCCTCCTGGAGCAGCTGCTCAGAACCCCTTTCTGTGACTGCATCTGGGTCCATCAGCACCACTCTGTGCTGAATATGGAAGAAGGCAGTTTCAGGAAGTGCATCTTTATTCTTAGAGCTTGAATGAATTATTCTTGTGTTTGTAAAAAGAAAATCCAGACAAAACCTTTCATGCTATAAAGCCTGCGCTCATTGAAAAATTGCATTCCCAGGAACTGAAGAGTAATCTCTACAGAAAGCTGGTCCTTTGGCTGTGGACAGAGGGCAGGTTGTAGGGCAACAGGACTGACAGAGCCTAGCATCTCCCACCGCAGCCCTGAGGGACTTAAAGCTTCAGGGTTTATTGTGCAAGGAGATGACTGGAGGGACGTCTGCTTCTAGATAGTTCCTTACAATCAGGTGCATGCTAGCCGGCTGAGGGAAGTGGTTAAGGGCCAGCAGAGAGATCTGGTCTGTGCATAATCTCGCTGAGGCGATTCCTGCACAGAGGCCCCTGTAGACCCAGCCACAATGAACTGAATTGTGTCCCCCAAAAGATATGTCCAAGTTATAGCCCCTAGTGGCTGTGAAGGTGGCCCTATTGGAATAAAGGTCTTTGTAGATATAGGTAAGGATCTTAAAATGAGATTACTCTTGAATAGAGTGGGCCCTAAATCCAATGACAAGTGTCTTCATGAGAGAGAGAAAAGGAGGACACAGAGACCTGAGAGGAAGGAAAGCCTCTTGAAGAACAAGGCAGAGACTGGAGAGATGCATCTATAAGCTCAGGAACACCAAGGATTGCTGGCAGCCACCAGATGCTGGGAGAGAGGTCTGGGATGGATTCTCCCTCAGCCTCCAGAAGCAACCAATCCTGCCCACCAACACCTTGATTTTGGACTTCTGGCTTCCAGAACTGTTATTAAGCCACCCAGTTTGTGGTACTGTTACAGCAGCCCCAGGGAACTAGTAAAACTCTATTCACTGCCCTTGCTTAGCTGATGAGCTACATGTGCTAAGGCAACCTTCCAATCCCTCCTGGGTGGTCAACTTCCCTCCTCCACCAGGGATCATGAAAGGTGCCGGAAACCACAGCACATCTACAACCTCTAAGAAGTTAGAAATTCTATTCCTTCTTGTTTAAACAACAAAGTGCCTGGCAGAATGAGAGCATGCAATACAGAAGCGTAACTTCCCTCATTTCTCCAAGACACCGTGAAGTTTCAAAGGACTTCCCACTCCAAGCTCCAGCACCTGTGAGAGATTGCTTCCCAGAGGCAGCCCCTCCCCAAGCATCCCTGTGGCTGATGCAAGATGCTGTTTCCTGGGGTGCCGTGTGGGAATGGGCTAAAGGTGGGGGACATTCCTCTGCTGACAGATGTGGGGGACTTCTGTCTGCTCATCACACCTGCTGAGCCTAGGAGGGGAGACAGACCAGAAGGCATTCACCATCAAAGCTTGGGAATGTTTTCCTTCAAGATGCTGGAGGAGTTCACCACAGCTGGCCAGGGACCTCCTCCACAGGCTGCAGGCTGGGGTGGGCACTGGTTCCAGGCCCTTCCTCCCCCCTCCCCTGGGGTATGGACAAGTATCCCTAGTGCTGGTTTCCCCACAGCTGTCCCTTCTTGGATGGTCCCTGGAGAAAGGTGTGGGCAGGATGTCAGGGCCCTTCACTCACTCTCTCACTCACTCAGACACGGGCAGATGGCTCCATGCTGGAGGTGATAGCCGAGGCCTAGGAGCACCCCGTGTGCCACTCGTCAGCTGAGCAAAGTCAGACCTGGTCAGTGAGCTGATGAGAAATGTTCCCTCCCCCCTCGGCTCTGCATACAAGCAAGAAAGTAGTGTGACAGTCAATTGAGTTGTAGGGTTGTTCTGCCTACATGAAGCATGATCTAGGTCCTCACTGACGTCTGCTGACCACCGATTGTCAGGACTGGCTCTATGCCCATTGTGGGCTTGCACGGGGGATGACAAGCACTGGACATGTCATTATAGACATGGGGGTCCCAGTAGTGCAGGGCCACAGGGATATACAACTGGGACCTCACCTGAGGGTGTGGCCAGGGAGGGCTTCTGTGAGCAGGGAGTGGGCCCGTTAGGTGAGGTGGTGAGGGTCGGATGGTGAAGGAGGAGCAGAGTAGTCTGTCCAGCAAGGGCTGGCAAAGGCAAGCTCAGCAAGTTTGAAGAAACTGAAAGAAAGGAAAAGTGAGTGGTGAGGGAAAGTGCCCAGAGTCTGTCTGTGTGAGGCCTTCTGGGAGGGTTCTGGTCTTCACCTTGAGGGCAGAGATGCCCTGGAAGGCTGGCAGGAGAAAGACTGAGACGGAGTCAGACCCATGCCTCACAGGGGGACCCCTCAGGAAGCATGAGGAAGGTCAGGTCTGGGTCAAGGGCATGGGGATGGAGGAGGTCTGGCATGTATAGGAGGTGGTGGGTAAGAACAATTACAGCAAAAATAATAAAGACCACTCCCCCATCCAGAGCTCACCAGCATTTCTTCTGGAATAATGCATTTAATATTCAAATAAGCCTATAAAGTGGGTGTTTGTTTGTTTTTTATCAGCATTTTATAAAATGAGGATCTGAGGCACAGAGAAGTTAGGTGAATGGCTCACATTCATGCCAATATATGGCCATGGCTGGGCTGGAACTCGGGCAGTCGGAGGCTGGAGGCCACGTGCCTACTCACCACGTCGTCTGCATGAGTTTCTCATGGCTGCTGTAACAGGTCATGACACACTAAGTGACTGAAAACAACACAGATACACTATCTGACAGTTCTGAAAGTCAGAAGTCCCAACACAAAGGTTGGCAGGACTGTGCCCTCTGAAGGTTCTCAGGCAAAATCCATGCCTGGTCTCTTTCAGCCTCTATAGCCACCCGCTCCCCCCAATCCCTCCTCAGCTGGTGGCCTCTGCCTCCATCTTGAAAGCCAGCAACGTATCACCTTCAAATCTCTCTCTCTGACCTCTGCTTCCATCACGTCATCTTCTCTCTGACTCCAAACCTCTTGTCTTCCTCTTATAAAGACCTTGTGATTACATTGGGGCCACTGGGTAATCCAGCATAATCTTCCATCTCAGGTTCCTTGCCCTTTTTGCCTAGTAGAGTAACACATTCACGTTCTGGGGTCAGATATTTGGGAGTCCATACTCCCGCCTCTCCCAACAGGACTAGTGGAGTCATGAGCTGAAGGGCACAAGGGAGGATGATGAGCGGAGTTTCTGGCCTTGGTAGCTGGCCAGATGGGGGTGTCATGTGCAGAGATAGGGAGTGTGAGATCTGGGAGCCATCAGAGTTGGACGTGTGGAGACTGACATGCTTGGAGATGGTGACGTGAGGACGAAGCAATGCCAGCTGAGCAGAGGGGACAGGACTGCAGGTGGAGGTTTGGGGATCACTGGCATGTAGCTTGTCTACATAGCAATGCAGCCCGCCAGTTAAGTTCTTAGCGCTCAAGTATGTGAGCTCGTGTCTGTGTGACCTTGGACACAGAGCCTCCACCTCTCAGGTTTAAGTAGGAGTCAGGACTGCTGCCCTCAACTATGCGGCAGCACGGACGGAACTTACCCTCCCAACTAAAGCAATTGAAAAATCAGGCAAAATATGTGAGCCAATGGTTCCCCAAATTTTGAAAATTAATAAAGGACAGGTAGATATGCCTGAGAGATGAGAAAATAGGGTCATAAAGGCTCCTGTCTTCTATGTTAGTTGGAACATTAAGTGAGATAATTTAATTTAAGCCCTCAATAAATGCTGCTATTATTACTGAAGCCAGGGTAGGAGGTGGATGAAATGGTCTGATGGAAAGTGGGGTGAGGAGAGGATAGCCTGTGGACCACCAACGTGGCAGGAGAGCTGGCAAAGGGGACAGAAAACAAGCAAGAAGCACTGGTGTTTCTGGGTTCAGGGGAGCAACAGTTTCCCAGGAAGCTGTTGACAACCATGCTGAATGCTGTGGAAGGTCAGGAGAGATGAAGGCCAGAGAAGCCCTTCAATGTGGGGGTGCAGACACTCACTGGGGCTGGCAATTCTTGCTAACAATGAACCCTAAAATCTGCAAACAATTTCTATTTATAATATAGAAAATTTGGAGCAACCAAGTGTCCCATGCCAGAAGGTTTGATGGCAGATGACACCATGCACAGCAAACAGCCGTGAGGTAAAGGGAATTCACACCAAGAGGTATGGAGGGCTGTGTGAGGTGCCTCAAATGGAAAAGGTGGCTAGAGAAATGCGTGTGTAGGCTTACCTCATTTCTGTAAAAGATGCATGTATTTCCAGGGGAAAATGGTCTGGAGATTTATATACCAAACTAGAGGCCTGATGCACGAAATTCATTGTGCAAGAGTAGGCCTTCCTTCCCCCGGCTGCCAGCACTGGCTTCCCTCTGGCACCAGGACCTGGGCTTCCCTCTGGCCGCTGGCAGGCACCCGGGACCCAGGCTTTCCTCGCAGCCCCAGCTTCGTCCAGTCTAATTAGCATATTATGCTTTTATTATTATAGATGATAAACATTGGTATTTAAGGAAGTTGGGATAATTATTTTTAAATCTATGTGTTCAAATTTTTCATCATTTTAATACCAACAAGCAAAATGGTTTTCTGATACATTGTCCAAGTCATAAAAAGAATAATAAGGTGAAGTTATTTGAGACCTGTTTTAAGACCAAGCTCTGGGTGATGGTGATCCTTGTTTTCCTGGATCCCACATGTGCCATCTTTATGGGGATGCCAGGGGCAGACAGGAGGAGAGCACGGAGTGTCCCTGAGGACTGGCCCAGGTGACTACTGGCAGCGCACAGGAGGAAGCCATTACCTGGGCACCAAGC